TTAATAAATTTTTTTAATTAAACTAATCTTACTAACAAATGGATGTTGCTAGTTGTTTTGAGCAATCGTTGGTTAACTCAACAATTTCAAGAATAATTCAAATGAATTATGTTGGTCCTTAATTGACATGGGGTAAAGTATATACATCAATTAAGTTTATGATGTTTGATAAATTTAAAGTAGTAAATAATTTTTTTTTGTATATATCTTTATTTCATTTGAATTAAAAGTTTAAAGTATTGTCAACTACTTATTATATTTTTATTTATTATGTTAAAAAAAAGTCAGTTGGCTGAGTAAAATGATGATCCTATTCAACAAGCTTGGAACAATATTTCAAAGAATCGATTAAAAAACTTATTGTCTGACAAAAAAGACTTGGCAATGAAAGAACGTGGAATTGATAACATCATAGAATGCAAAAGTATGGAGCAGAGATGGATCACAGTTTCAATTTAGAATGCTCTTATTGATAATGTATGGAGCACTCTCTAATGGCAATATCTTATTTCACGAGTTATTTTTATCATGAAATGTCAATAAATTATATAAATTGTATTGTTACATATTTCATTAAATGTGTTTAAACAAATGCAATTACTTAAGCTACAATAAGAACCTATCTTTACAAAACTTTTCAATCGCACTCACAAGCTTTCAAGAGGACGTGGTGACTTTGTTGATAACAAGTCCAGAGTTGTCAGTGTAAGTGACTTTCAATTGATGGAATAATGATGAAATTGTTGCCTTGTTTTATTGAAATAGATAATATCTTGTGTGTTTTGTGATGTAAAGACTTTGTGAAAATGTGAAAACTGTTGCATAATTTGCTTTATGCTTCTGATTGTATATTATGATTATTAATTAAATATTGCGTATTTTGCATTGTAATTATAGTTGTGTCTTATGATTATTGATGAACTATATGTTAATAATATATTGCGATAACTACTTATTTGTGAAAGATTTTTGCATATTATCTAGATGAGATCACATTTGTGAAAGGTAAAAATTATTGCATATTTTCATTTGTGATTTTGTTTGTATTTTTTTATTGTTGATGAAGTATATAGTGAAGTAATTGAAAGCAAAGACATTGTAGGAAATCCTATATTGAAGTAGATAGTTTGATGTATATTGAAATGCAATGAATTTGTAAAATGTGAAAGTTATGCTTAAAGTTGTGATATTTTAATGAACTATACAGATCCTATATTAATTATTATTGTTTTAAACTTTTTGTAAGAAAAATATGTTGCTGCATTATTTCATAAATACGGTGAAAACTATTTCAATCATTCAGAATTTGATCCACAAGCATGGACTAAAACTATTAGAGGGGTTGAAGCCACACGCATTCATGTGTATGGCTTTGGATCAGCAAATAGATCTAAGGGCCTCCTTCACTACACTCAATCCACTGCTGCAGCAGAATCATCTAACCGTATTTGTGGTCCATCATTTGTGCCTCTTCAAGCTCGTCAGCCTCAAATACAAGAACGAATTGATTAGTTTAAGACTGAGTTGAGAGTTGAGCTTAGGTCATTCATGAAATAGATTATATAGTTGATGGGTTCTAGACAAAGTCCACCATGACAATATTTTAGACCTAATGACAGCACCTAAGATTCTGGATTAAAAGGTGCAGCAGTAGCATGGTGACAGTTTCTGTTAGATTTGTATGAGGTATTGGATAGATGGATGCTGTGGATTTTTTATGAATTGATATTTTATGATGTTATAGACATTTAATAGATGTTTGATGGATGTTGGATGATGTATTTGATGAATGTTACCTAGATTTGATAGTTTAATTAATAATAATAGCATATTTAAATAATTACACATATTTAAATTGTAATTTACAGGGTTTGAAAATAATTATAGGTTTTTTGAATAATTATAAATCTTTTTATTTAAATTATTGATGAATTTATATTTTTACCAACGAAATTTTACTATTACCAACAAAATTTTTATTGTTATCAATGGGAAAAAAAATTTTGTGACCCATTTTCATGGTTAGTACTAACGGATTTACCAACAAAATTTTATTATTACTAATTGAATTTTAATTATTACCGATAGAATTACTAATAGATTTTTTTTATTACCTATAGAATTTTATTATTACCGACAGTTTTACTGACAAAAAAATCCCATTATGGATGATTTTGTTGATGAAAAATTCCATAACTAATTATCGATGAAAAATTCCATAGGTAAAACCCTCGCTAATAAATCCGTTAGTAATTACAAATGAATTTTAACCATCACTAACGAAATAGTACTATCGACATAGCTAGCATCGATGAAATTTTTTAATCAGTAAAATTATTGTTAAAAGTATTACCGATGAATTTTAAGCTTTTACCAACAGAAAATTCCATCGATAAAGCCTATTTTTCTAGTATGACATCTAATAAATAATTTTTCATATAATAAGTTTCTTCTATCTTTACCTACACGTGATTGAAATTTGTTAAAGTGATGTTATCTCATATTTAATAAATATTTAATTTTTTACAATTTTTTATTTAATAAATATTTAATAAATCTTCCACTTATAGCCGATTAGGGAAAAGAAAGAGAAAAACACAATGAGGATGATTGCATCTATATATAAGCTGCATTGCACAACCAAAACAGTCTAAATGGAAAGCAAAATCCATCAAGGTTCACTATCCACACTGAAGCCAAATACATAAATAGGCTTTTCATATGGTTTATGTCAAGAATGATGGGTTTTTAATGCCGAAAACAAAGGTTTCGCCCTTGTTGAAACTCAAATAAAGAAAAGAAGAATAAAAGAAAGAAATAAGGACTAAAATCCAAGGATCTTAACTGGCATGCATTGACTGCTGAACGCAAAAGCTATGGGCAGATGATGAGAACAAAATGCTCAAAAATCACTTCATTGATTGGCAAGACCAAGGTAATTTAGGAAATGATATATCCTTCCGGTTTTATACCAGCCAGAAAAATACTTTAAATGATAGTTTGGCCCAATGCAACCTAGTCTCACCCGACATAATCCTATATATGAATCTGCAAAGCAAAATTATTTGATTCAAGAAAACATGGCAAAAAAAATGCAAAAATCAGCCCAAACAACATAAATAAACATTGTAAAGAAAGATCTCTAAACATATTTGGAGATTAGATCATAGGAAAGAAGATGGAGAAAAGGATTAATGTTGCCCATGGAACTAATTTTGATAAAAGCCCCGTTGCATTGAACACTGAATCCCGTGACATGAACACAATGGCTGATGGATAAAGTCTATCCTTGTCCAGCAGAGGTCCTTTAATTATAGTTAGAAAAAAGTACTTAGATCAAGATATTGTTTACGCGGAAGGAAGGATTTATTGAAATTACAAAGCTTAGATATTCTTAACATAAAAATCTTCTTTGAGTTGTGACAGCACTATGCTCTAAATCTAAAAAGTCATTCAATTAATATCAAAGTAAAGCATTTTTGCATAATTCGCCGGCTTAATCCAAGAACAAACTGGATTATCCTAACTATCTATTCCTATGAGGATGAAGCTGCAATGACAGAGATTTAACATGTTACAACCTTTTGATTGGACCAGAACTTTTTCTATCATGTTGATTTCCAGCCCAAAGACCATTTAAACACCGGTTTATTGGGATCCAAACAAATGGAGAAAGTAGCCCTTTTCTGGTATAGCCTGGCCTAACCGGACAAAATATCAATTATAGATACATGTATAATGAACAATGAGACTAGACTTAATCTACACAATGAAACCCTTTGGATGCGGAGTAGCATATTCCAAAAGCAGAAACGATCATCAGGTGAAAAAGCAGCCCAATAATCCATATGAAACAGTTGAAAACCCAAATTATCTCATTTCAGGAGAGCAATTCCAAAGGGCCAATAGACAAATAGAGAATAAATGCAATAAAGCATTAAACAGGGATTGCAGCTCAAATGACAATGTAAGAAGCACTGGTGTAGTGTATGACAAGAAAGATTGTAAATCATGTCTATACCAACACCTCAACTTAGTTAATTTAGCTTAAGAATGAAATTGTGAGACCATCAGTTTCAAACAAAAGTAGAATGCACTCAACCATTCATCTCAAAGAAATTTTGAGAAACGCTGTAGCTTTCTGAAAATTGCTTCTAACCTTTTTAATTTACCTGTCTGCATTACCCTTCATCGCTTCCTTCTGTACAGATGCATTAATGTCAAGACTAAAATTGATCAACCCGATATTCCTTCCTCACCAACTTATGAAAAAACAATCCCCATAATCACAGCTTTTGTAATGGTTCTTTTCATTCCACTTATGCAAGTAAAGTGAAATGGTCAAAGGCAAAATCAGTCAAATTTAGCGAATCTGTTTATCGCAGCTCTGCAAATCTGAAAGTGCGGAGAAAAATATTCCCTCAACTTCCAGTTGATGACCGAAATAATGGACTATTTTGGCTTTTGAAAGTAACTTAAAATATGGTAACAAGTAAAGCCAATCATCCCTCACTTTTGCAACTGGTTGCTTGGAAAGATTTAGATGGCACACTTGATATTTGAAATGATTAACCTCAATTGGTTTCATCCTTGCCCTTTAGAATGTAGTTTCTTTAGAAATTTCTCCATTTTTTTTACCATTAAAATTATTTTTTACCATGAAAATATCTACTTTGATGAGAAGAACGGAGAATCACAGTTTGTCTCTTTGTTTTGTGTTTTTAATTTCTCAAGCAAAGTTTCAACCAATAATAGAAAAAACCTACTTGAAATAATCTATGATCTAAGCCGAAACAAGAAGAGACGACCTGCTATTTGTTTTGATAGCCACACACAATAAGAAAACCATCAGAGAAGAAAGATTAAAGAAGAAATATTTTTGAGACAATAGATCGTGTATCAAAATTTCTGTGGGTGCAAAAATGATATATGTATGTGTATCGAGGAAGGGAACTAAGCAATAACGAACACACAATTGTTAGAAATAAAACCATGTTAAACTGCATCTATTACCAATGCTAATGAAAGTAAAATAGCATCAAAGTGAAAGTAATGCATGATAAGCCGATAATTGAAGCTGTTCATTCCCATAGAAACACAAACACACATACATACATATATATATATATATATATATGAAACTCTTCCGCCATTGCCAAACTAGAGACAAGTGCTACGGGTTGGTGGAGCTGCTGCATACTGTCTATCCACGACCTCAATGAGCTTGTTGGCTATGGAACTGGCATAAACAGAAGATCCTTCATATATCTGCATCGATGGAATTATGATTATCCGATCAGAAATATACTCAAACATATACATGCTGGATAAAACAATATAAATCAATGAGCAAAGAAATATTTACCTTGGTGTTGAAGAGAAAGCTGTAATAGTCACCAACGTTGCCACCAGCAACATGGTGGAGATCCAACTGAAGCTCATCCAGTAGTCTGGAAACAATCAGCAAGCAGTTGATCTTCTTTTTTTGGACAAGTTTGATGGTAACTTCATCATCAATAATGCGTACATCAACCTCAGAATCCTTAGACTTCCTCTGAAGCCAAGAGCTCCTCAAGGAAGTGTTATAGCATTGCTCTGGATCACCTAGAGGCTTGCACTCAACATCCCCTGCATCAACAGCACTAACAGCATCTTCAATCTTGCGCTTCTTGCACCTGTCTTGGCCGCATCTCTTTTTCTCCACCAGTAATTTAAGCTCACGAACTGTTCTAAGAAGCTCTTTGATGTAGTCTATAGCATCTCCAACTACAGATGCTCTATCACTCTTGGTTGTAGCCAATGAAAAAGGTGTTTCCCAACCACCAAAGCAATATAATAACACCGAGGGGATGAAAGTTTTTCAGTGATTATCATAAAAGAAACAAACTGTTTTAATGTTATGAAAAAAGAAAAACAGTGATAAAGTGGTTAGTGTACCTTGGTTGGGTTAGGGACCATTTTCCTCAAAGCGTGGTACTTGTCATTTAGATGAACTCTCCTTTCCCTCTCAGTTGCAAAGTGTTTGGTTGTTTTTCCAGCTCTATTTCTGCCTTTGCCATGGCCGGCCATAGGGATGTCACCGGAAAACTCAAGAATCCCATTGTCCCCATCATGATAAAGTACACCAACCCCACTTGCCTCTCTCTCATCAGCTGGCAAGGTGTAGCCATGCGGCAGAGATTGCAGCAACTCCCTGAACACAGGCGGCTGAGGAGGCAGGTTGAGATGGAGAAGTGGGTCATATACAACAGAAGAGGCAGGTGCGTTTTCAAAGGAAATGGAGGAATTGGGGAGAAAAGAGCATCTGGGTAAATGGAAAAGGTTGAGAAGGTCCGGTGTAGGAGGGTAAGCAGCTTCTGGGGATGAAGAAGATGGCACCATATTGAAACCTTGTTGGTCAGCATCCCAATTGGACTGATCATAGGAAAGCTCCTGAGTTAGTTGTGGGATGAAATGGGTATTATTAATATTATTGTTGGTGGTGTTGTTGTCAAACATATAGTGTTGTTGGATTTCCATTTCTAAGGCAGCAGCGACGGCGGAGGCATCTTCATGCTGGTGATCATGATTGTAAGAAGAGAGATTGAGATTGTCTTCCAAACTGTTGTGGCTGTTGGTGGTGGCACTGCCCGCAGCCAGCCCAATGAGTGCCTGGCAATCTGTCGTGGAGTTGGGATCAAAGCAACCACTCTCTTCGTACACCATTGTTTTTCTTTTTCTCCTTTTTTACATAAACAAAAACAAAATTAATTAGGGTATTTGAAGAGGAAAAAATAAGAAATTAATACATTGGGAAACAATGATAAAGGAGCACTGTTTGCAGAATTCGGCGAGGAAGGAAGCACGATTTACCTTTGCATTGAAACAGAAGAGACAGAAATGGAAAAAGAGTTGAATTTGGTTCAAACTCCTGAGGATGTTTTAATTGTTTCAGGTGCTACTCGTATTTTCTTGGAACTAACCTACCTGCCTTCCTGACTAATCTTAGTTTACCTACATGTCATTGCATTTATAACACTTCTACACTCATATTAAAATATAAGTATTTACATGTTACTAATATGGCAATTCCCGTGATAATGTAAAATATTAATAATTTTTGTTTTTATATCATATTTAATATAAAAATTATAAGTTAGAATTTTTTTTTAAAAAAATATGAATTATATTTTTAATTTTTGTTAAATCATATGATTTTTATTAAAATTTCAAATTATGTCACTTTTTATCTTTTTCATATTATTTTATATTGTATTATCATATTTTATTTTAAATTATTAAATATTATAATAATTTATTTTACTAAATTACGGTTGAAATTGGGTAATTACACTTAAATTTATACTACTACTAGTAAATGAGAAAAAAGTGTGCGAGCGGGAGTATCTTTTCTTTAATTTGAGGATTGATTGATGAGTTTTAGTAGTAATATTTAGTAATAAGTATTTGGGAAGAAAATATTTTTAAGTTGTTAGTGTTGAATGAAAAGGATAGGAAAATGTTGAAGGAGGGTTTTGGAATTTCGGGGCAGTTGGAGTAGGAATAGGAGCAGGAGTAGAGATAGGGATAGGAGGAAGGTTGTTACATGTTACTGAGATTCCCATCAATGGGGGCCCATTCATAATCTTCCGTATTCTGATTTCTGATAACAGTGTCGTGTCCTGTCCCGCGTGATTTTGCCTTTTCCGACTGTCTACTTCTATTCTCCTATTCCTACCTAGTATTTTCGTTTTCGCTTTAGTAACTTCAGCATTCATTTGCATTTCCTACCGTGAAATGATTGATCATCGTTCTCAAAGTATTCCAAACTTAAATCAGCATCAGCTTAGAAATTGAACCATGCATCATCCTCCATACGAGGAGCAAGTAGCTGTGGGCATTTGTAGATTCGAACCAACTTGATAGATGAAAATCGATTGAATTTTGTTAAGTTGATTTGATTAGTTCAATTTTAATAATTATTGATTTAGTCAATTTTAATATAATTGATTTTTAATTTTTAAATTTAATAAATGAATAGATTGAATTAATCGATATTTTTTTAAAAAAGTTTAAGTATAAAATAATTTTATTTATGTTTTTAAGAATGATAAATATAATATTAATGTTAAAACTATAAGGTAAATTTTATTGAGTGAAAATTTTTACAAAATTATTATTTAAAATTGATGATAAAAAAATTATGAAAAAATTTTGATTTCTCGATTGAAGCAATTGATTTTATGTTGGTTAAATTATTTTTAAAAGAAGTCAGTTTTGATCTTTCAAAAATCAAAATCAATGAGCTGCTCACTCCTATGAGTGAGTGCTTTCACCTCTCTATTTAATTATTAATATTATAATTGTACAAATTACTTATGAAGGGTTGGATTACTTACACTAATTTAGTTTTATATTATTATTGCATCCTTCCAGTAGTAAGGCAGTATGTATCTTTCTACCTACCTGATAAGAAGCAGATGCTGCAGCAGCTTCTATTCCATATAGTGTCATGGTTTGCAATTTGGAGATTCACGCGATTTGTGGCTATTTGCGGTAGGAAGGCAGTTAGTTTAGGTGGGAATGGTGATTTGATCCAATGTTGAAGGTAAAATTTACACACACACACACACACCAAAAATAAAATAAAATTAAAAAGTGTGGGCCCCATTTCCCCAAATGTAAATACTCTATGATCTCTCCATGCAAACTGCTCGCCCCAACTAACCCACCCCAATCACTTCAACAACATACATACTTGCATTTCTTTTTCTTTTTCTTTCTTTCCTTTAAATATTATTTACTCTCTCTTTCTTCAAATTATTATTATTAATGATGGGCAGAGATTGCTATATTAAATTACTTATGATAAGAAAATTGGTGGTTTATTTATTTATTAGTATAAAGAAGTTGGAATTGGGGTTCATGCAAAGTTTGTGCCATCATTTTCAAATACTTATATAAAATAATGTATATACTCAATTATATCAAGGGATAACATTAATTATATATATATACTCAGAGATCAAATTGTAAGCATATATGACTCAAAAGGGTTGAATATACATGAATACGTAACGTATTACAATATATATTTAATTTTACTAGGATTAAATTAATTTACTTTGTGACAATGGAAGTGGGTGAACAAATTAGGAACCATCTTAATTCATATGAAGGAAACAAGCAGAAAAAAGAATAGATCCAATCTCTGCTTCAAAAACTTCTTCAAATACCCAAATTGAATTCGCCTTCTTCTTCTTCTTCTTCTTTTTGTTTTTATTATTTTGGCTAGGAGATCGATGCATTTAAAATACAGTAACAGTTTCTCGCCTGAAGTTAATTAGTTGCGAAGGAAAGCAAGGAATCATTGATTGATGTAAACAAAATATCATCAAATTTTTATAGAGTTTGAATTTCCTGAAAACAAAACGTCGATATAGACGTTGAGATTTCGTGTCAGTTAACAAATACTATGAGACTTGAGTTCCCTAATTTAAACAAATACTACTATATATATGTATGTATGTGGTTGCATTTGCTTGTTATAATTAAGCTAGTGAATTTCCAAAAAGACACGCATATATAACAATATATATATATAAATTGTTGCCTTGTCCTGCAAGCTGGGAGAAAATGTGTTCAATCCCTTTTCTGTAGGCATCAAACCAGACAGTTTCTAGGATTCAAGCAACTTGTGCTAACTGCCATAATTTATCCTGCTTCTTTGTCTAACTTAAGAGTTTGTTAGACGAAAGCAAATTCATTCAACTGAAAAAATAAAAACATACTTCGTCATGTCACATGAAAAATCAAAGTTGATGGGATATTCTAGTCGAGTTAATAGCACCCCCTACTCTCCCGAATCATTGGGCCAAATTTTATTCTGTTCTCCAATTTTTTTTAAAAAAAAAATTAATTGAATCCTTAATTATTCAAATGTGTATCATTTTAATCTTTCAATCTTAAAAATCATTTAATTTAACGTTAAATATCAGTTGATATCACATTAATTAAATATGGATTACACATGGTTCCAACTGACTGCTAACGTATTAAAAAAATCAAACTTTTTTTTTATTATTTTTTTTCATCTCTTCTTCTCTCACCTCTTCTTCCTCCACCACTAGTAAGGCCAATCGAAAAAAATGATCAAATTTGGTTCAACCGACACCACAACAATCTGCTTTCAGCCGATAATTATGGCATCGGCCAGGTTAGATTTGATGCTCACCGACGCTGATTAGCCGCTGCCAACATGAAAAAAAAAAAAAATGCTAAATGAAAAATTATTTTTTAAAATTTTTTTTTTTTTCAATATAATAACCAGTCACTTGACGTTATATGTGACTCACGTATTGTTATATGTGACTCACGTATTATTCACATGATATCAATTGATATTTACTATCAAATTAGATGATTAATAGACAAAAAAATCAAAACAATACATGTTTGTGCAACTATAAACCCAATTACAAGTCTTTAAAGATTAAAAACCAAAAGAGAATTAGTGAAATACTCAATTTAAGATCAAATCTTTGATGAGCTACTCATTTAAAGATTAAACTTTTGATTTATGCTGATCTAAGATCAAATGTTTTCGAAAGTTTATCATTAAGGATATATTTTGACAAAAGTTTGTACGTATATCACACGTATTATTGAATTGAATTAGATTAATAAATGATATTAATTTGTCAAATATTTTATGGATTTCATGCATATGACTAATTCACCAAAATATATATATATATATATATCTATCAAAATAATAATAATAATAATAAAGCAATTTATGTAAAAATTTAAAAAAATGCTTTTCAACTTTTTTTTTCTCTTGCTCTTCTTTCTAGATTTTTATTTTTTTAAAGCCTTAAATTTTCTCCACCTCAACGCTAGTTTCCCTTCAATTGTACAAGCCTTCTCTTTCCACCATTCGTCGCTAACAAGATCTGCAAGGACGAACTCAACTTCTTTTTCTTCCATTTTTTTTTCTTTTCTCGATTAAACTCCTCCATTTTAGTAAGTACTATGTCTCTTTAACTATAACTCATGACCCCAAGCAATGTTACTATGTTGATTGATCCTTTTTTGTCTCTCTCTCTCTCTCTCTCTCTCTCTCTCTCTCTCTCTCTCTCTTTTCCTTCTAACAGTTATATTCACAATCTAAGTTTTACTAGTTTTTAATCTATTTATTTCTTTCACTCTTTATCCAAGCATAGAACTAAAAATTTGATAAGTTGAAATTTTCATTGTAAGTTTCAATTCAAAATGATTGGACGATAATGAAAAAAAAAAAATTGTGTGATTTAGTTGTAGGTTTTTTTATATATTATGGGTATTATAATTTTTGTGGGTTTGTGATTTTTTTTTTTAATTTAGAATAATAGTGAGCAATTGAAAATTTTATGTTGTACAAACTAAAGCTCGTGGATGAGAAGTCATATTCAAATGGAATGTTATATATATATATATATATATATATTGTTATTTTATTTACAAACCCTAATCAATATAAAGAAAGAATGAAATAACCTTTTTTTCAAAAAAAATGAATATCATTTTTTAGATTACTTTTAATTTTATTTAAAATGATATTTAACCACTAAAAAAAGATGTAACCATTTTTTCTCAATTGTTAAATTAAAGAGTGCATGTAAAAACAACAGAATTTTTCGTTCAAATATTATTTTAATTGTAAATTTTTAAAAACTTTTGATTCTAAATCAAATATTTAACCCTTAATTAAGCAACTCGTCAAAAGTGTTTAACCAATAAAATTTGACATAAACCACAAGTACTATCAACTCTTTCCGGTCAAACCTTTACTTGTGTCTTCACCAAGGGCCTTCCAAAGCCCAAGGGATGTGTACTTGCGCTTCAAATTAACAACAGCTGGATGGATATCTCAGACAATTTTCTTCCAGTCTGAACTTGGGTTTGTCATTCAGCCCAATCTTAGTAGATAAAGTCTAAACCCAATGTAACCCTGCTCAAAACCCTCCAAATAAAAACCCAAAACAAAATATTTTTTCTAAAATAAAAAAAAAAAAAAAGAATTCCTCTGGACATGTGTGACAGCACATCAGCAGCGGCTCCTTCCAGACAAAATCTTAACAGAAAGGAACCGAGATGAGTTGAGCAGCCAGCGCATCACATGTAACCGCAATATCTTTCTGTTTTTTGTCGCAAACCCTCCTTTTCTTTCTGCAATTTATAAATTAAGCCATTAACGCAAGATTTCCCATTTCTGATCAATCTTTTCTCTCTAAATAGAACTCTTGAATGTTAGAACAATATCCTTGCTTTCCTCTTTGATTACTCGAATCGGATGGTTCAGACATATAAACATCTTCTTCCCTATCTAGTCTGCTTAAACACTAGCCCTTTTTTTTTTTTTTTGGTCGGTTTATAAACGGCACGCTCTTGTTTGTCTGACTTGGTCAAAGCTGACATGGAACAATTTCAGCTTTGAGTACCCATTTGGTATTTACTGGGAAAGGTGTGAGCTTTAAGCTTTTTCGCCACATTTTTATTTGCATAAACTGACCTAAAGAAAGCCCAAATTGGTGGTGTTACGCGTTAAGAAGCCGACCGAAAACGGGTCTATCACTTTCCCTTCTCTTTCTTTTTGTTTTCTGCTTCTAGTTTGGTAGAGAGTAGATAGCCAAATCTGCTTTTGATTGATGCTGATGGGATAAGCATCCCCAAATATCCCATGTGGTAAAAACTTTTCTAGATTTTTCTGTTTTGTTCTAGAATTAGAAAACGGGGGCTGAAGGTTTCAGATAGTATTGTTGCTGATTAGTTGGCTTTGGTTTTTGGTCTCATCTTGTTGACGTGCTGCTTGTGCTTTCTTGGAGGATAAAACGCTTAGCAAAAGCGTAGGCCATACACGGTTTGCTGAATTTGGTTAATACCACAGGTATAGACCAAGAATTCTTGAATTAGAAGCTTTAGTATTTTCAGTTACATCTGACCTTAATCAAGAGTAAAAGATGGTAGAAACTACCCAAGAAATGAAGCAGAATTTCCATGCAAATGGCTTGATCCAGAACTCCAATGGTTCGTTAGAAGAGAAACTTGACGAGCTTCGACATCTTATGGGCAAAGCAGAAGGCGATCCGCTAAGAATTGTTGGCGTTGGGGCAGGTGCATGGGGTAGTGTATTCATTGCTTTGTTGCAAGACAGTTTTGGTCACCTAAGAGATAAGGTTCTTATAAGAATATGGAGGAGACCTGGAAGGACAGTTGATAGGGTCACAGCTGAGCACTTATTTGAAGTGATCAATTCGAAGGAGGATGTATTGAGGAGACTGATTAGGCGGTGTGCTTACTTGAAGTATGTTGAGGCAAGATTAGGTGATCGGACCCTGTATGCAGATGAGATTTTGAAAGATGGGTTCTGCTTGAATATGATTGATACTCCGCTTTGCCCTTTAAAGGTTGTTACTAACTTGCAAGAAGCTGTGTGGGATGCTGATATTGTAATTAATGGATTGCCATCAACGGAAACTCGGGGAGTTTTTGAGGAAATTAGAAGGTATTGGAAAGAGAGAATAACAGTGCCAGTAATCATTTCTCTGGCAAAGGGTATAGAAGCTGAGCTGGGGCCTGAACCTCGCATATTAACTCCCACCCAGATGATCAATCGAGCAAGTAAGCTTCCTTCTTTGCTCTTTAACTTTTGGCAAGCAACATTAATTGTTTGAATTCACAATAAAAGTTATATTAATATGAATCTTGCTCCTTTTCTTGCAGCTGGAATCCCTATAGAGAACATTCTCTATCTTGGGGGACCTAATATTGCTTCAGAGATTTACAATAAAGAGTATGCTAATGCTAGAATTTGTGGGGCTGAAAAGTGGAGAAAACCATTGGCAAACTTTTTAAGGCTGCCGCACTTTATTGTGTGGGACAACGGTGACCTTGTTACTCATGAAGTTATGGGTGGTTTGAAGAATGTCTATGCCATTGGAGCTGGTAAGATCTAGTTTTTTGCAAGTAGGCTGAGTCTTGGACATAACACAATAAGTGGTATGGCAATTTTAGTTTAAAGATAAGGAATACTCCTGGAAAGAGACAACCGGATTCTGCAATTTAATGAATAGATCAACACAATTATAGCTAATGTATGATCAAAATCGGACCTATTAACCCAAAGTAAAATAAAAAATAAAAACAAGACAAAACAAAACAAAGCAAAGCAAAGGTATTAAGCCAATGGCCTACTTCCCTTATGTAGTAGTAGGTATTGTGATTCTAGACTTGTTTTGATCTTTAAGTGGTAGATATTACTTGATAATCTATATTCCATATTCTTCAAGATTCTAAAGGTTTACACACTATTTCCATGAATAACTCTTTACTAACAAATTCAGGATGCCAAATAACTAATCTTTGGACTAAACTAAATTAATTTAGCTTCAATTTGAGTAATAAGTTGAAATTTCAAATCTGTAGATGTAATTTCCAATAATGATTCCACAGGAATGGTAGCAGCTCTAACCAATGAGAGTGCCACCAGCAAATCAGTATACTTTGCACTCTGTACATCTGAGATGATATTTATCACTCATCTCTTGGCAGAAGAGCCAGAAAAACTTGCTGGGCCTTTGTTGGCTGACACTTATGTAACCCTTTTGAAAGGTCGCAATGCATGGTATGGGCAACAGCTGGCCAAAGGGGAATTAAGCCTTGAAATGGGTGATAGCATCAAGGGGAAGGGCATGATTCAGGTATGAACTTCTCTGTTCAGGAGCATCAAATTTGAATAAACAGTTTTTGTTTGAGTTGGCAAGAGTTGAGTCAATCCTTGTCTGACTTAAAGCGAATCCTATGATATGTTGATGTTTCGAATTTTTAAGCATCATTATATTGTAGATTGAGATGATTTGATGTCTGCTGAATGGCATGTGCAGACAACCTATGCTGCGTAATAGAAAAAAGTAGTGTTCTTAAAGCAACTATCAAGGAACTTTGGAAAAGAATAGATCTTCAATTAATTTGTGATATGGAAACCTACTGAAATATCTTTATTTCATGGGTATGCAGTGATTTGTGTCTTTATTGCTTCGAATAAATGCTTGCTTTCAAGCTCTAGAATGACTTTTGGAGTGCAGAGGCTCTTCATCTTTCATGACATTGTTTAAACTAAACAGGAATATCACTATTAATACAAGAAGTACTAACTCCTAAACAAGTTTTAGCAGATGAATAATCCCATAGCACTTCTGGACTTGTAAAGATCAATTTCCAATTGATTTCATGGCCACCTTTTTCTGCTACAGCCAATGTGTCAGTGTTTTTTTATTTGTTTTGTTGGGGTAAACTTTAGACAACCGCGTCTCCTTTTCTGCATCAGTTTGCAGCCTTCTTGGATCTCAACCACATGCTATAGCATAGCCATTGTAAATTGTTGTTGGCATTTGTACTCACTGTTTAATAATAAAACAAGATTCTGATTCTTCTTTTTCTTGACCTCCTATCTGATCCTGTCTTTCAATTCCTTCTACGAATATTAATCTCATTATTTTGGCAGGGTGTCTCTGCTGTGAAAGCCTTTTATGAGCTGCTTAGTCAGTCAAGCTTAAGCGTCTTACACCCTGAAGAAAACAAACCTGTAGCTCCAGTGGAGCTTTGCCCCATTTTGAAGATGCTATATAAGATACTCATCACGAGGTACTCAATTTCTTTTCCCCAACTGGCTAGATAATGTTTTTATTATTCCTTAAAGCTCCACCTCACCACGCCAAAACTAGAGTTGCAACCAGATACGTATTGATCCAGCTATAGTGTATATGCACCGTATTCTAGATTTTCATTCTTTCAGAAGTGAGCTCATGAAACTTCATTTTAAATTTCAATGTTCAGGGAGTTCCCATTACAAGCTATCCTTGATGCTTTAAGGGATGAAACCATGTATGACCCAAAAGATCGTATCGAGATAGCACAGACTCATGTTTTCTATAGACCATCACTTCTCGGTCATCAGCCTTGATAAATGATTCCACTTTCCATTCAGAAATTCTCGGCAGATGTGATTAGTTGTGAGGCTGTGTTCTTTCTAGTCCTTAATTTTTTTTTTTTTGTCTTTTTTTTGTGATATCCATTTGTAATAGCTGTTTCTTAATGTCAAATGTCAATCTAATCAAGTGACTAGGGTGTCATTTTATCATCCATTTATCCTTAACATAAATTTCGCACGTCTACCATGAGAAGAGTCTTTTCTAGGGCTACCATGTGGCAGCTCCATGTTGCTTCTTTTTTCTTTTACATTTTTTTTTGTTTTCTTGACTTTTTTTTTTAATTAATAAATATTTTAAATTATAAAAAACATACGTTTTTAAAAATTTTATTTTTTATGCATAAGATTCCCTTATATCAAATTTTCTTTTTTCTTTCTTTCTCTCTTTTCTTTTTAACTTTTTTTTTAAAAAAATATTTAATAATATTTTTAAAATTTTAAAAATTAATATATTTTTTATAGATTTTATTTTTTTATATGTGACAGTCACTTATATCAATTTTTAATTTTTGCTTTTTCCTTTTTACCTTTTTTATTTTTCTTTTTTTAAAAGAAATTTCGTTAAGGCTTTTGCTAGATTTTATTTTTTCGGGAATCGGCTTGATGCCAATAGTATGTCACTTTTTTTTATTCTTATTTTCTTTTTTTAAATATATTTAATTAATAATTTTTTATATTTTATTTTTAAGATCAATTTGATATCAATAGTATGTCATATGATAAGTCATTTAACATTTTTTTTTGCTTTATTTTTTATTTTTTGGTTATTTACTTTTTTCTTTTTTAAAAAAAGTTTAATATTTTTTTAAATGTTTTAAATTTTTTTAATGAGACTCATTCAATATAATTATTTAAAAAGATATTATAAAACACATTGACAGTGTAAGTTTTTTATTTTATAGGTAAGTTTAAGATGATGATATATAACCCTAAGTGTATACTTAAAAAATTAAAAAAAAATTAATTTAAAAAAATATAAAAACATGTGTTATTAATTAAGTTTCGTTTATAAAGTTAAAAATTTTACTATATGTGCACCAAATAATTTATTTTATTTAAAATATATTTTTTCTTTTTTCACTAATTTTTGTTTATTTGATAATTTTAATTTCTAAGAGTCTCACATTGCATTTTCACTTTTTTCCTTTTTCTTTTTCGCTTTTCGCTTTTTATATTTTATTTTTTTTTACTTTTTCTTTTAAACTATTTAATAAATATTTTTTAAAATTATAACAAAATATAACTTTAAAAAATTTTATTTTTTATGTGTGGGATCCATTTATGTCAAATTTTCTTTTTCCTTTTTTTCTTTTTATACCCTTTTAATTTTTTTTCTTTTTAAAAAAAAGTATTTAATGATATTTTTAAAAGAATTAACAAAAACCCTATAATATATATATATATATATATTTGTTAAAGATGTTATTTTTATATTTGGGACCACTTATACTAAACTTTATTTTTGGATTTTCCTTTTTTAACCTTTTTAACTTTTGCCCTTTTTAAAAAAGTATTTCACAAAAAAAATTTTTTACAATTTTTGGTGGGATACACTTTGTATTAATGGTATGCAACGTGTTGGTTTTTTTTTTTAATATTTCTTTTTTTATATATTTAATAATAATTTTTTATTTTTTAAAACATACTTGATATGAAAAGTATGTGATGCTGAAGTCATTTGACTCCTTTTTTCGCTTCTTTTTTTTTTGTTGCTTTTTATATTTTCTTTCTTCCTTTTTTAAATTAATATTTCGTAAAAATTTTAATTTCATTAACATGGGCTGTATTTGATATGATTATTTAAATATATATTTTCTTTTTTGGTTATTTTTTATTTTGTTAATTTGATGATTTTTTTAAAAAAAATATTTGCAAAAAAGCCGATGTTACACTAGGATTTGATTTGCTTTTCTTTTTTCAATCTTTTTTTATTTTTATATTTTTTAACTCTACAATATATAAATTTCAAGAAAAATTCATCATTTCATGTGCTGTAAGGTAGCTCAACTTTCACCTTTTTTTTTTTTTGGCTTTTTGTCATTTATGTTTTTCTTTTTTCTTTAAATGAGATCATTTTTAAAAATTAATATCTTGGGGCGTCCATATAATACTTTAATAAACTCTTTTCTCTTTTTTGGGTTTTTTTTTTCTTCTTTTTAATTAGATAAAATTAGAAAATAAATAGTTAATAGAGATGACAAAGCAAAAAAATTTAGTCTGTAATACTTTGTTTGATAAAAAATTAATATCTGATAGTCTCGATCAATCTCAATTAAATATGGGTATTTTTGTAAAAGTAATATCAAATCTGATGGGGTTTGTTTCTTGTAGAAAAGCAAAGACGAGTCAAAAAGCAAATTTATGGTGTCCTACCCTCAGCCATACCATGATATATAAATAAATATATATATAAATGTATATTTTATGATCAGTTTAATTTTATATAAATTTTGTAAAAAAAAGTTAATTGAGGTATAAGATAACATTCTCATTTCTCTATTTTTTTTAGGCTTTTACTTTTTTTAATTAGATCAAATTTACAATAACATAAATCGATTGATAAGGATGGCATCCGTGTCGATTTAATATTTTTATTCTTTTAAAATTTTTTAAAATTATAAAAATATATATATTTTTTAAAGATTTTATTTTTTTTTTTGTATTAGACTCATTTATATCATTTTTTCTTTTTTATCCTTTTTAATTTTTTTAAAAAATATTTAATAGTATCTTTAAAAATATAAAAAAATAAATATTTTTATACGTGAGATCCACTTGTACCAAATTTTTTTTTTCGTGGCTTTTCCTCTTTTTAACTTTTTCCTTTTAAGAAATATTTAATAAAGAATTTTCTTAGATTTTATTTTTTTATATGACAGTTTAAACTAACTAGAATGATGAACCCTTTTTCGTCGGGGATTTTTTATTTTAATTTAAATCATATTTTAATAGTTTATTTAAATAATTTTTATTTTGTATGTTTTAAGGTGTGTATATATATATATATATATATATATATATATATATATATATATAGATGAAAATGATTCGTCCGTTCTAGATCTTTTTTTTTCCTTTTTTTTTTCTGAACTGACCCTTGGATTTATTTTCTAACAAATCTCTTTATGTTTCAGATCTTTCCTGATTTATTTTTTCCCTCAACTCATCCTTAACATTCAGTAAAATCTAAGAAAAGGTCAGATGAATTTTTATTCATCTTAAATTTAATTTGATTTTATAATCATAAAATTCATATCTAATTTTATTTTAAATTAATAAAATATTATTTTTTAAATATAAATATATATAAATAAAAAATTTAAAAATAATTTTTTATATAATATCAAATCAAATTTATCTAAAATTTAAATTCGATTCGATTTTAATTTTTTTTTAATAATATTTGATCTGATTCAAATTAAAATTTAATTTTTTAAAAAAAATTACTCTATCTAATCGAATCAAAATCTACTGATTATGAGTTAGATTACTAACCCTAATAAAATCTCTCCCCTGTGATGTCAACCAAATAAATGCCTATAGTAAACATGGAGACAAAATTATATGACAGTAAGATTACAGGACAGCCTTTTTCCCAAATTTATCTTCGAATTTTTTAATGACATTGACGAAGTGTACAATAAATCACATCAACAAAAGTTGAACGACAATTTTAATTTGTTTTTATAGATTTAAACTTTGTAAATTTTATTTTTATATTTTTAAATAACAATAATCATTACATAAAATCAACTATAAACTATTTACACACTCAACACATGTCCTTTTAAGGAAGTGACTATGAACTTAGATTGTTGGTATTGATAATACAGAGCCCTCAACCATCTCAAAAAAATTTAAAAAAAAAAAAACTCAAAATAATTCAATTATGTAGCTGTGTTGTTGTCTTTTTTTTTTTTTTTTAAGTAACAAGAGATTAAGGATTGAAATATAATAATTTAAAAAATAAACATTAAAATGGAAACAAAATAGAAGATAATGAAATTTATGGTAAACTTTTTAGTCCTTGGAATTTTTAGCTCTTTTCCCGGTATAAACTGATTCAATAATAAATGCTCTAAGTGAATGGTGTAGAAAGTATGTGTACTTATGTTTTGATCTATCCTTTGAATTGGGGCTTTCATTTAACAATTTACAGGAACCCAATAAACGATAACTAGGATACCACAAATTTTAAAGTCCACCACACCAAAAGAAAAATAAATAGTTAAACATAAACCCACCTCTCATATCTCAAAGCCCACAAAACTCATAAATCAAGATAGCTGTCAACTCTCTAAACTTAAAGGGAAACTTTAAATGTATATAGTATAAATGGTATGTATGTGTTATTGTTTTTTATTTTTTACTTTTTACTTTTTTTTATGTTTTTTATAAATAATTTTTTATTTTTTATTTTTTTAAAATCACTTGATATCAAGAATATAATATGTGTTAAATTATTTTATTTTTTGCCTATTTAATTTTTTCTTTAAAAATATTTAATAATTTTTTAAAATATTTTAAAATTTTCTTAATGTGAGACTCATTTGATATGATTATTTAAAATATTTTTTATTTTTATTTTTTTTTTAAATAACGTAGGTGTTGATCTCACACCCAGATTTGATTTTTTTTTTCATTTTTTCGGTTTTTTTTTTTAAATTCATGATATAAATTTTTCAAGAAAAAATCATTACTTCAAATATCGTATGATAACTCTAACTTTTTTTATTGCTTTTTATCTTATTGCTTTTTTTTTTCTTTTTAACGTAGGATCATTTAAAAAAATGAATTTGTACACATGGCATCTTTTTTTTAATGTTTTTTAATTTTTTAATTAATTAAATTATTATTTAATATTTTAATTTAAAAAATTAATATTTTAAATTTAATTAAGATGTCTACATAGTACCTCAATAAATGCCCTTCTTTTTTTTTAATTACTCTTTTTACTTTTTTCTCATTTTTTTTGCATTTTATGCTTTTTATTAAATTAATTTTCTTATAAAAAATTAGGACAATGAATATGCCTACATAGCATTTCATTTGTCTTTTATTTTTTTATATTTTTAATTAGATAAATTTTGTAATAAAATGTAATGATTGATAGAGATTGAAACAATACATATACGACATGTTTCAATCATCTCTGTCTTTTAGGGGGAACTTTTTTAAAAAATTGAGATCAAATTCGGACATGTAGAGGTTTTTTTTTTTTAATGATATTAGAGCGAAAATGCATTTAAGGAATTTTATCTTAACTCATTTTGGGGTATATGTTGAAAATATATATTTTATTATTAATATAATTTTACATTTATATATGTATTACATTAACAAAATAATTATTTAATATTTTAAATTAAAAAATTAATATTTTAAATTCAATAAAAACGTCTCAATGGCACATTTTATGATTTTTTTCATTTTACAATTTCTTTTGTTTTTAATATTTATGTTTTAATTAAATATATTTTTTGATACTAGGAGGTTATCTACATGTCATCCTTATTTAGGTTTTTTTTTTTTTAACTTTTTATTTTTTTATTAGATAAAATTTTGAAAGAAAAAAGAATTGAATAAATATGGCAAAGCAAAAAAAAAAAAAAAAAAGCTGTTAATTTTTTTTTGTTTGATAAAAAATGAGTATCTAATAAGTTTTAATCTATCTTAATACAACATGAACGTATTTTATAAGAATAAGTATCGAATTCGAATATATTTTTTATAAAAAAATTAGAAATAAGTATAAAGTAAATTTAAAACACTCTATCCTAAGTCGTTTAATGGAATATATAAAAGTATATATTTTATCTATTTAATTTTATATAAATTTTGTAAGAAGAAAATATCAATTTGTTTTTTTTTTTTTTTTTTTAATATATTTTTTAAAATTAGATAGATTGTTCAACAAAATAAACCAATTAATGGAAAAGACAAAATGAGTAGTATTCAGTAAAATTTTATCTGATTCAATTCAATATGAACACTTGTGAAAAATTAATTTCGAATAAATTTGAAATAAAAGACAAATTTTATTATTCATATGTCACATTCATTTAAATATTTTTGTTCCTTTTATTTTAAAAAAAATTAAATAAATGTTTCAAAAACTAAATATAAATAATAAAATAAAAAAATTTTAACCCACCGCAACGCACGCCCTTAAAATTAATCATTGATGAAATCAGTACTGCTAATTACCTCTTTGATGTAGCATTTTTTTTTATTAAAACCCAAAGTCACTGCCAAATGCCAAATGGTCAAAACAACATCGTATGGTGGAGCTTCTTGTTGTTTTAAGTTTTTAATCTTCCAAAGTGCTGCGTTTTCGGGGCAGTCCTGTTCCAGCGCCAGCGGTGGTTAATTTGGCAGAGAGAGAGAGCGAGAGAGAGAGAGAGATGTCTCTGGTAGACTATGCATCCTCTTCAGACGACGACGTTTCAGACTCCGAACATGAACCACCAGCACTTCCAACCCAGCGCCCCCCTTCTCCTCGTAAAACCCTGTGAGAAGCATAACGTTAATTGATCCTTCAAATATATCATTTTTAATTTGTCACAACTTTTGAAGGTGGTTAATCTAATTCGCAGGCCATCTGGGTCGTCGTTGGATCAAAGGCCAGAAACTTTTGAGAAGCTTCCGGATGCTTCGGTGCTTTTGAACTCTCCGAGGGTGTCATTAATAAGCGGCGACAACCACGCATCTGTGGTAGCAGCAGCGATGGCGGAAAGTGCGTCGCGTAAGCGACACTCAGAGGGGATGATGGGGTTGGGTTCCAGCGTTAGCGTACCACCCCCACCAAGGGCTAAACTTCCCAGAGCTACCTTACCTCATTCCAAGAGCGTTCCTGATACGGGAGGTGGCACCCTTGTTCCCCCTCAGCTCAAAGGAAGGTCAAAATACTTCCCTTTTACTTTGTTTCCTTCTACGATTTCAAAGCCCTTTGTTGAAATTGATTTAAACTTCTTGTTTAGAAGAATAAATTGTAATTTTATGCAACACCTTATCTGCTTAATTCTAGTACAATTTTTGTTAGCATTTATGATTTAGCCCATAAATCTCAATCCAAGGAAAACAAGGAACAAATTTGACCTCAAACATAAAGTTTCAGCTCAATAGAGCAGCTATTTGTTCACAATCACTACTTTGCTTTAGGCCATTGCTGAAGGTTTTAGCCATGAAGCAAATGCATTTTACTTTGAATAACTCAAGTTGACACTAACCTTTGCTTCCTACAACTTTTTTACAAGTCTTTTTTTTTTTTTCACGGGCTTACAGCATCAGTGAAGAAATAGTACTAATGAATTCTTACTAGCCAAATCTTGATTTCTGTTTCTACGTCTTAATCACAAGAATTTGAGACTTTTCCTGCTTTGTTCTAATGTCTCAAGAAGCAAAACAGTGTGCTTTTCAGAGTGAAAAAGTTTCTTCTTATGCTTGATAAGACAACTATTTTCCTTGTGTTTCTTCTTTTCACCCGCAAATTGCCGCATTGCCTGGGGCCTAATACCATCAAGAAGCACACGATGGGCTGGAGAACTCCCTCATACTATCTACCATTTATATGACCTAAAGGCTAAAGTTCCTTGAACCCCATGTGGGGTAGTTTAATATCTTGACCTTCTTGCCAAATCATCCATGTCATGTCTGTTTTGGTTTGCTAATGTTGCATTCATTTATATTGGAGAAAATTTGTAGTAAATGATTCATGATTCAATTTTTGGCAGGAGTAATGTGGTCACTGAAGATATCAGCAAGCTATTTGTCAGCAGACATGCTGTTGCACAGCCCAGAGGACCTGAAAATTAGTCATAGTTTATTTCCTCTTGAAATTATTGCTTTATACAAACTGAAAACAGATGAACATCTTGAGGATTTTGATTTTGTATAAATATAAAGAACTTTATATTTTTGCACATGCTTGGATTCTCTAGTTTGGCTGAAGGCACGTAGCGGGTTCATATTGTTCTGTTGCAGAATTCATTGGTCAAAGTGGCTAATTGTTCAAATTAACTTTAGCTTTTATTTTTTAGGACAACTTGACAAACATGTGGAAATGCTAGTTTGAGTGTATGGCCACTCCATTAGATTTCATGTGCGTGTATGATTTCATATCATTGCATTTCTTTGAAGAGAACTACTATAACTTATTGGGTTACTGTCAAGTAAGCAAGCAGCAAAATTTTAGTTGCATTCTAACAGGGTCATTGTAGAAGTACAATGAGCTGAGAAACTGCAAAATCATGGCATCTTCTTGAATACTTTAAGTTAGCAGAAGTACAATGAATCATCAGAATATTCCTACTCTACTAGAAAAGAATTTTGTTGCCGCTTGTATTGGGCATCATTGTTTGAATTGATTTCCTCTGAGTTTGAAGCTGCATTGGCATTTCTAATAAGGTGGATCATTCATGCCATATCTGGACCACTTGGAAGTGGTTCGTAGCCATCATGGTGCTTGGTTGTGGCAGCTTCTTTGCTTTTGTCAACGGGTATGCATTTGAGGATAACAGAAACTATGAGGCTTCCTGCTCCAAGTAAAATGCTGGCTAGCCATAGCTCCCAGTTCAGTGGCACAGTGTTTGCAAAAGTACCCAAGAATTCAACTATTATGCTTTGAAAAGCCACCGTAGAGACCATCACCATAATAAATAGCCAACTATCAAAAATGCCTCGGAAAACATTGATCTTCTCCATATCCCTGCTATTGATTTCATTGAACACCTGAACAAAAGAAACAAAATGATGTAAAAATCTCAGTCCCCAGTCTGCAAAAGTCTTGTCTTCTGGGAAGATGAGCAAAGTACTTTTTGAAAGTGCATTATAAATTGAATGACAGCATGCTTAGAAAGTGAAGGAAAAGATGGGTAAAGATCGAGGCCCAGCACCTGGCAAAACACGAAGGTATTGAAGATGACTGTATTCAAAATAGCAGTAGCATCTGAACCAGAAAGCTGCAAAAGCCGTTTCCCTTCAAACTTGAGAATTGCAAGTACAATCAATTGATAAATGCTCTGGCCGATGATATTCCGCCACATGATCCTGGTAATGAAAGCTGCATCCCTTCCAATAGGAGGCCTTTTCATCAGGCCCTCGTGAGGAGGTTCCGTAGCCAATGCCAATGCTCCAAGAGTGTCCATGATCATGTTCACCCAGAGCAGCTGAACAGCCGTAAGAGGAGCAGAACCTGAAAAATTACTTCTCAAAGATGATTTGTCATCTGCATTATCTAAAGACAGGCTCAGGGTTTTAAGCTCAAACCAAGAAACAAATTTGCTACTCAATAAATGAAAGTACCTGAGATGCATGCAGAAATAAAATTGAGCATGAGTGCGACAATGTTAACTGTGAGCTGGAACTGTACAAACTTTTGGATATTGATATAAACTGCACGGCCCCATCTGTCAACATTCTGTATAGTTGTGAAGTTGTCATCCATTATGACAACATCGGCATTTTCTTTTGCGACCTGAAGGTGCGGTATTGCAGAAAGATGCTTAGCTAACAATGAAAGAGAAACAGCTAAGCGGACTAGGAAACAATTGATTGACACAAATGGTGGCAGAGATGAAAACAAACCTCTGTTCCGGCTATTCCCATAGCAAGTCCAATGTCAGCCTCATGCAAAGCAGGTGCATCGTTTGTCCCATCACCAGTCACCGCCACGACTTCTTTAAACTCCTTCCTCAAGTAAGTTACCAGCTTGTGCTTATCCAAGGGCAATGATCGCGCCATAACCTGCATATGCGTCAAGCATTTTATAGGGACTGCATACACATGCCACTTTGGTTCTGTTTTCAGCTCTAAACGTTTTTCTAAAATGCATAAATGAAAAACAATTTCTGATTTTTTTTAGTATAAACTGCATTTCAATTCTTAGAAAAACAGAACAAATTTTGGAAAGCGGAAAATCAAGTAAACTTTTTTACCTGGGCACATCTTGGTTGAGAAGAGAAAAGTTTTTCATTAAAAAAAAAAAAAACCCAAGTTCTTAAAGCAATAGCAAGACCTGGAGTTTTGGTATTGTCTCCTCCATCTGCTGTGGACTCATGTCACGAAAATCTGGCCCTTCAATTGCCAAACCACCATTTGTCAAAATCCCACATTCTCTTGCTATAGCTTTAGCTGTGTTAATATTGTCTCCAGTGACCATCCGCACAGTTACCCCTGCAGCTAAACAAGTTTTCACAGCTTCCCTTACCCCAGGTCGCACAGGATCCTTAATTCCAATCACAGCGATAAGTGTATAATTATCTTCAGGAATGCTATTGCTATCTACATTAGAAGTGCCTCTTACATCCTTGAAAGCCAAGCATAGTGTTCTTAGGGCTTCACAGGCAAAGCCATTAATCACATCAGTGATGCACTTCCTCTGCTCTTCCGATAGAGGCTCGGCCTTACCGTCAGCATTGATTATCTTGCTGCAAGATTTTAAAATTATTTCTGATGCACCTTTGCAAAATGCTCTGTGCCCACCACCATTAGAAAGGGAGACAAGGACAGACATCTTTTTCTTCACTGAATTGAAAGGCTCGACTTTAAGAATTTCAGATTCCTTTCGATGGATTTCGAAGTCATTCCCCAAAAGCAAACCAAACTCTAATATTGCTGTCTCTGTTGGAGAGCCTAAAACGTTATTCTTTCCATCTTTTCCCTTGACTACTTCGGCACCAGTATTTTGAAATATCGACTGCAAAAGTAAGTTGAATACTCCTCCAGCGATAGAGGACCGCAAAAAATCCTCACTTTTGTTTCCTTCAATTTTTATTGTCCGTCCACAGGTCCAAATTTTATTGACAACCATATGATTAGTAGTCAGTGTCCCGGTTTTATCGGTGCAAATGCTAGTGACTGAACCCATTGTCTCACATGCAGAGAGATGTCTCACAAGAGCTTTATCACTCATTAACTTTTTCATTGCAAATGCAAGACTTAATGTTACTGCCAGTGGTAATCCTTCTGGAACTGCAACTACAATGATAGTCACTGCAATGGCAAAGAAATTCAAGAGATTCAGTGCGTCGCTCACAGACCAGTTTGTAATCTCACCATGCAGCGCCTTTGTCACTAGAAACCTTATGGTCAGAACCAAAAATGTCAAAACAGAAAATGCCAAACCAATCTTTCCAATAACGGTCGCAACTCCATTGAGCTTCACCTGTAGTGGCGTTTCATCTTCTCCACCTTCACTTAGAGTAACCATCAGTCTTCCCCATTCAGTCCTCATACCAACTGTAGTTACCAACATTTTGCCAGAGCCATCTTGCACTTTTGTCCCTGAGAGAAGAAAAGGCCGCTGTTGAGTTATATTTACAGGTTCACTTTCACCTGACAAGCTTGATTCATCAATTGATAAGCTGTAACCAGATATAAGAACACCATCTGCAGGAACTTGATCTCCAATTGATAGATAAACAATATCCCCAACCACCAAATCATAGATAGAAATCTTTTGCCTGCACCCGTCTCTGGTGACCTGAACAACTATATTTTTCTTCTCTTTATCCAAGTCTTTGAATTGCAAGGACTGCTTGTAGTCACTTATGGCAGTAACCAATACCACCAGGAAAATGCAGAATACTATTCCTAGCCCATCATACATACCTGTAGGCCATCCTTCAGTAGCAATTCCAACAACTACAGAAACAGCAGCACATACCATGAGAATAATCAAAGTCAAGTCATGCAGGGCTTCCCACACAAACATCCAAAAGGATCTAGCAGGTTTCTCAGCAAATTGGTTGTAGCCATATATATTTTGCCTGAGTGAAACATCAGTTGGAACAACACCGTCGGTCAGAGATACAGAGACTTTTTTTGCTAAGCCTTCAACTCCTCCATGATCTTCGAAGCTCTTCATGTCATGGGACTGAACAATGAATGCTAGCTCATCAGCTCCAATGCCAAAACCAGCTTGCCTAACATCTTCCGGAAGCTTGTAGTTGTCCTGAACTCGCTTGCCTGCTGTTCTAGGCACCAGATAGAGTTAGATGATTGAAAAGGGAAATTTTAATTTGGATGGATAACGAGATCATCATCTAGTAGAGATTGTACCATCAATGAAATTCAATGCCGCTTTTTGCACGTAAAGAGCTACTCTAATTTTTTCCTGGCAAAAGATGATGAAAATATAATAAGTGTAGGTATATATTGGAAAACCAAACATACAATAGTCGGGGAAGAGCGGAAGCGTCCAAAATACATGAACTCTGTTTAGAATTTAGGGAACAGCACTAGTCTGCAAAAATGCTGGCGAGACACGATCACTGATCACAGATCACAGGGTCAAACTATCCTGAAATAAGCCTAGCGGGGGGATTATCTTTTGGTTGAAGCGTAAATATCAAAGTGCATTGATGTTAAAACAGAAAGAACATTGAAAATCTTTGGTTGCTGCCACCACCAGAATATACTAACAACACACATGACATCCATGGGTCCAAAAGACTGAAACTATTAGATGAGGATAATGGCAGCAAAAGTGGACAGCACACACTGACAGGGTTTCGACTCTATAATCTATAGCCATCATCATTGGCTCAGTTGTTTCACCAATCCGACTAAATATGGATATCTTTGTACCTCAAAATTCAATATTCCAAAAGACTTGGGACGGTAAATTTAAACCAAACTTATAAGGTACTAGTGGTAATGTCATCCTTTAAGAGGAGGTATGCCACAATTCGGTTAAAGCTCGGTTTTTAGAGTTTCATAAGTACTGCTTAAGACTTCAACAAGAAATGAAAGAATATCACATATGCCCTTGAGTAATTATGGCCCAGCAATATGATGATTTTATCTTTTATTTGTTTATTAGCTCTTTCAGTTGGTTATTTTCGACAGCACTGAACAAAACAAATGTAAGTCAATCATTGTTGGAGAAAAGACAATGATTATATATTTTAAAAAAGCAGTTGTATAAAATACTACTAGTTAACGTTTTGACCAACATTGTTTGTTTTAAAATCTTATGAATGTATCAACCATTCCACAAACAAGAAAACCAGAGTGTATCTAACTAATTTTGGCTAAATCTAAAGTGAAAGTTGTGTGAGTATTGATTGACAAGCTTAGTGGATTGTCCCATCTGGCAATGGATATATTGGAGTGAATGAGTGATGTTCCCTTCTTTGCTTCAAAAGAAATTAATTTTTGTTATCTGGTCAGGATTCTTCTCAACAAAATAATAATAGCTCCCTGGCTTTATTATGGCACCATTTCTTCCGATCATAATAAGAAAAAGAAGACTGAGTTGCAACTTGGTGGAAATTATGGAAAAATTATTGAGCCATCCAAGAGTTGAGTCAAATTGTTCTATTTAAGTGTTTTAAACACTCACAATTCACAATTTCCTTAACAATCTTATGCAATCTTTGTGCTCGTTTAAGTTCTGTGTGAATTTGGACTATTCAATCAACCTCCACATTCTGATCAATTAGAGCTTTTGATAAATAAAATTAAAAAAAAAAAAAAAAACCCACATATGACATCCATCAGACGATTTCTTTTTTACCAAAAGAAGTGAGCGGAAAGGGCTCCAACCTTTTTAACCCACATTCAACAAAATTCTATTGAACAAACTTCTTTTGGCTTACGTGAGATAACAAACGAAGATTCTAGTCGAAAGCAAAACTAAAGTTAAAGCTGCAGCCATCAATGATGGACTATTGGATGCATGCTGGCGTGCGCAGTTGGTTTTGTTTTACGCGTTTTCGACATTTCTAACAAGAAAGCCGACCATAACTAGTACTAGGAAATTGAAGACCACCTCCAAAATCAAAAGTACAACATGTGAACACAAGGACCACGGAGGCGGCCCCAATTGAAGAATTGTTTGCTTCGCATCTTATTGTCCACGTCATAAAACTAGTGCGCAATATAGTAGTTGACATAGACGATCGACTACCTTAGCTAAATAGCCTGCAATTTGTTTGTTTCGTGAACGAGACGATTCATCCAACACCACAGACGTCACAGTCATCGACTCGTCGTAGAGTGAAAGCAAACAACAGCGTTTCTTTTAATAACAGGCATTGACTGGCCTAAATTCAAAGGTAACGATTAAAACTATGGACGAGATACCCTGGTTATATGATCATCAAACCCTTCACTACGGGTCGTTTCGGTGGGGTGATGTTCAAATTAGAATTCAACCTAGTTTGAAATAATTTAGGCCTTTTTTGCTAATCCTACCTATATCTATCTTATTTTGACCAACTTGAAAAGGATAGAACAGGAGTTAAATTACTTGGTAGGATTGTGTTTGTGTTGGAAATTTCAAGTCATACCACGTTGGGTTAAGAAAATATAATTTCCTTTCAAATTCGGGTAAAAGAAAACTAGAATCGAATTCAGATTATTTCATTGTTAAATTAATTTGAATTAGAATCATTTTAAGTTTAATCTGGGATCATTTATATTTAATTTGTTAATTTTTAAAATCAAATAAATATAATCAAATTATATAAAAAAATAATGTTAAATTATTTAAAATTATTTGTTAATAATATAAAATTACGTTACATTAAATATAAAATTAAGTTTGTTCATGATAAAAAATTATTAATGATTTTTGTTGAATAATACTTAATATTTATTTTTAATATTTTATGTTTTACATATTAATTTATAATTAATGATTTATATTAATTTTATAAAATAATATTTGTCCACATTACTCATTAATAATGAATTGAAAATATATAAATAATTATATATTTAAAAAAAAATCACCACCAGAATTACCACTAAAAAGTAAAATATGTTATTAAGAGTACTATTGGTATTGATTATTTAATTGACCTAATGGTATTATTTCTAAAATATCAAAATTACTTAGAGATCTTATTAATTTAACTTTAATAATTGATCATTTGAATAACAACTGATACAATGAAAAATGAAAATGGGATATTACCTATTGTCTGTTGGTATGGTATGGTATGGCACGACATGACTTGGTTTGGTTTTAATTTTTTAAATTATAACATTTAGTTTTGAGTATTCATTTTATGTATAAACTTTAATTGCATATGAAGAAATCATACTATATATATAATCTTTTAAAATTTTGTTCATAAAAAAAACTTGATAATTTCATTTGTTTAATACAACTAATCTTAATACTAATTACTTATAAATTATAAGATTATTATAATATTTTAAATCTACTATTAAACTATATTTTATTTAAAAATGATATTTAATTTTTATATTTATTACTTATAAATAATAATAAAATAATAAAATTTGAGATATAAAATTAAATTAATTAATAGATCACTTTTTCAACGTTTTCTTTCCTTGAGAAAATGAAACTAGTTTAGAAGTTAAATTTATTACTTTTAATTACATTAATATTTTAAAAATAAAATTATGTTCAATATAATTTTGAATCATTTTAAAGAAGTATTTCAAGTTTGGATTAATTCGAGTTGAAATTACTTTGAGTTTGAATTAATTCATGTTTATATCAAATCGAATTTGGGTCAATTTAGAATCAAGCTGGATGAAATCTGCAGAATCAGTTTTTCTACCTCTAATCACAATGCAAGAAATGCATCAAATCCAATGGCAAAACTTTTTTAATCATAGTCATTGGCTTGATATAAAACTAATGTTGTTGGGAAAATTAGAAGATAAACAAATCAAGAAACGAAAGGCAATAGTATATAACACTAAAACAATAAAAAATACGTATCACTAAAGCCAAAAAAAACACACACACACACACACACAAAGGAAAGGGAATTAAAGAACCTGGAGGATTCGACGCTTGCGATCAGCTTCAGCACGTTTAGCAAGATCAGCAACCATGCGAAACCTGCGGCGAGGGTTCTTGACGAGGGAGACTGCACATCTCCATCTCCTTAAAGCGTCTTCGGATGGCCTTTTGTGTTCAACAGCAAAGTTCTTTCTCAGGTAATCCTCCATATATATATATATATATGTATTTAACGACGTACGTAGGGATGGATGAGTTATTGCGGTCTCTCAAATCTCAATAATTTGGATTTCTGAACCTGATCCTGATTTGCATGCAGGAGATGAATGAAGGACGGATACGTTTTTCATGGACTAGTACAATCTTTTGATTTGCAGAGAAGAAATGTTCAAAACCTGGCCGTGATTGGCGGGAAGAAGGAAAACAGACACATGATTTCTGTACATATGGAGGATATATGTATTATATATATAGCCTCCGTTGACATTCCAACTCTTTCTAAAAATTCAAATATCATAAACTTCAACATGCGTTTTATACTAAAAATATTCTTTTTTTTCTTTGTACATGCGAAATTCATTCAGTTTGAACTATGCAGTAGAGAGACACCTCTTTTTTTGTTAGCTCTCTTACCATTATCACATCTTATAAATTTCAACCATCCCATCCCTTTCTACAAATGATATTTTCAATTCTAACCATTTACACTTTTTATACTAGTATAAAAAGAATAGTAAAGGTGAGCAGCCCAGGCGGCCTGCTAGGCTCATTGACCGGCTGTTGGAGCTCATCAAACTTGACTGGGCTGATCAGCTTCTTCATAGAATTGAGCTGAAACTGGCCTTTACATCCATTTAAGCTTGTATTGGGCTTCTTATAAGGAAATTAATCATCCGCTCCTCTTAAATACACCAAATTTTCAACTAACTTGTGCTTCAAACATCTACTTCTTTGACGAATCTGATTCCCACGTTTGAATCTTGGATGTTCCCGTTCCTCAACTTCTATTGTTTCCCTTCTTTGCAAAACAGATGAAATTAATAGTTTTTCTCAACCACATTTTCCTTGAAATTTCCCTCCTTTCTTCCCACCAAATAGCCTATATCTGTAGTTCCCCTTTATGGAGATAAATAATGTTGGCTACATATGCAGCAGCCAGAACCTAACTCTTGGAATACCTCAAATTTTCTTCCTAAAGAAACAATTACTGCCATCATATGATCGTAAACGAATTAGCGGAAGAGTCTTTAATGCCCTAATCAACAAACTTTCCTGGCCTTTGAATACAGATTTCAAGGGAGGCCACTGTGAAGGTAGACAAAACACCCCCATAAGGAGAAAATTGAAGAAAAAATTTATTGCGACAATCGCAGAAGGAAAGCCACAGTCATGCACACAGACACAGCCCCAAAGATTCCCACTGTGCAGTGCAACCGTGCACTTTTGTCCATCGTGTGGCATCACATTCACGTCTTTCTTTTCTTTATAAGATCGAAGGGAGTGTACTCTTTTATGCCGCTAATAGCATTGCTAGGCAGCAATGACTCAGGAGAAGCCTAAAATGTTGCGTCATTCAGTCTCAGTCACATGGCTGAGTGCAGCTGGCATTAAGGACCCACTTACTTACATAAATTATTACCACTTTTTAAAACAAGAGTAGGACCCACTTCTACTGTCAGTGACCCACGTTCCGTTGTGTCTTGTGGCCCTTCCTGCATCTCCTCTGTGACTGGGAATCTCTAAATCCTGACCCCACCCAATAATAATTCTACCGCTATCGCTGTTGCGTTTGCTGGCGAGATTCCTACACGAGACAAATTCTTGTAATACATAAAGCTTAAAAACGGACAGAAAAAACCAATAGGATTAGAGTTTACAAATTACAACTCCTCTTTCTCTGTTTTTCTTTGATGCTTTTACTAGTAAAAATCTTCCGTCTCTCCTAATCTAAGGGATTGACACGTGTGTAGCAACTGGCTACAAATAACAACAAATACACAAGGTAACACTTTGAATTGAGATTAAACGAATGTCTGATCTTCCCCGCATCCCCCCAGACAGATGTCTCGCCCCCATTTTTACCCCCATACATTACACTTTGCATTTACCGTTTCTGCCTGTGGGTGTGCTTCCCTGCTTCTGCTGATGCTGTACAAAAAAGAGATTTTGATTGTACCCTAACATAGACTAACGAGCTAAAAAACCAAATATGGGATTTTCCTTGTTTCTTCCAGGGAAACCATCAGCACTGGAAAAGAGGAGGAAGGGGAAGAAATTACAGTTCGCAGGGAGTTACAACTACACATTGACTGTGTGATCCTCTTTTTCTTCTTTGCTTTTACCTGTGGTCCAAACTCAACTACCGAAACAATAGATAACAATATTACTAGAACAAAAGGAATGGCTAACCCACTTCGTTCACTACCTTTCTTTGTATACATTTTGTATGATAGTAAGTAGTATAGTCTTTGACCATGATAACGATATTGGTTGAGGTGGTTCTGATTGCAGTGTCTGTTCTCCACAGATCTATGATGTGAATTTTTTTTTTGTTTGGCTGTACTTTCAGTCTTCCTGTAAAGAGAAGCCAACCTCATCAGCAAAACAAAACCACAATTTCGCCAGCACATATATAGAAATCAAAACAGAAATAATGTATTAAAGAAAAGAATCCTAAGATATCCATTTACCTACGCATAGAAGCTAAATTCCAACAGGGCAAGTCGGGCCGCCAGTGCCCGCACACATACCAATGGTCCCATGTCCAGACGAGAACCTGAATTGAGAGGCACAGGTCGAGTTACAAATCATTTTGATACATGGTATTTCCAACCTTATAATTCTGTTTATAATCGTAATGATAATATTATTACAATAAGAGTCGTTCTCCAACTAACAATAATGTACCTGCGCATTTGGCAGTTGAAGGAGTTGAAGGATGCCATGTCTAATGCATTATTTGCAGGAAGTAAAGTTGAAGAAACCCAATTATTGTTAACAGAAGCCAAGACTGAAGCATCCTTATTTACTTCAGAATTGGAGATAACTGACAAGTACTCTCCAGAAGTTTTTGTAGGAGATGCAAAAGGACTATCAGGAAGGTTGTGCTCCAAACTGCAATTAGTTACAAAAGATGCATAAGTTTACAACCAATAGGCTATTTGATTGTCCCCAGAAATTGTAGGTTATTCTCAGTTTACTCCTGATTTCAATCTGAATGCACAAAGTTCCTTTACTTGTATACCTTACTGGCAGATCACCATCTTCACAATGAAGGCTCTCCTCACCACTACCATTATCTTCAGTACTGGCCGATTCTTTACCGAATGCAGTAGCAGTACTGGCTGCTTGTTTCTCAGGAGTAAAGACAGACATAGCCGGCACAGGGCTAGAACAATTCTCTGCAATGAAAGATAGCAAGTAATCTACTCTTTCCAGTATAGAATGCCGATTCATATGCACTAGGCAGATGATCATACTAGATTATTGAGTGTTGTATTTGAATGGAGGTGTACCTTGTGGAGCTTCTTGACTGCTGTGAAATTGAGGAAGTACAAGAGACTGGCTGAACAGGCTTGGTGAGTGAGTAGGTGATGGAATGGGACTGCCACTAGAAAGGGCCATGTGATGGTGATGCTTCTTGACATCAAGGAGTTGCAGACTCATCAACCTTCTATTCTGAAGCTCAAAAGCTTGTCGCAGATCAGCTTGCTCCTCCAGCTTACCCCTCCATAACATGTCCCGTGTATTGTAAAACATCCTTGCTCCTAATTGCACACACAGATTTTTAGGCATATATAACACAAAAATATATAAATGAGATGTTAAGATTTGTGGAGTCTACTAACTCTAACGCTAATTATCCGTATACAAAATTTTACAAGTAATAATATTAAAGGTATTTTGAATTTTTTGCACGTATAATTTGATCATTTTAATTCTTACTTGTATTTAAAAAGCCATCAGTTTAAGGTTGATTATCACACTTTATAATCCCTCTTTTTCATAGTGAAATTTTGCAGTGGCTGCAAAATAGGTTGAGAGTGACATATACTTATTTATTATTGTTTTCTAAAAAAATACTAGACAGAATAGTAGATGTAACTCTTATGTTGAAAGATTTTTGCACTTGTTTATTATCTCTTTCTGAAAAAAAAAAAAAAAAGGGACTTTAACCCTAACATGAGAGACAATTTTGGTTTCTTGGCTTCTGCTTACCATGGTCAAATGGGTCTCTAGAATCAAGGCCAGTTGGGGTAACACAAGGAGAGTACTCTCCTCTTTCCACTTGTTGCTGCTGCTGCTGCTGCTTCCTGCAAGATAACAAGAAGCACTAATAGATCTATACCAAGTTCGCAAGTCATCCCCAAATAAGATTTTTAAGTGTGCGAGAGTGCCTGTACTTGTCTAGGACTTTTCCTTTCTCCTTGTAAGGCTTCACCAGAACCCGGGCGTCGCAAACAAAATGAGGATTCCCTTTAGCCAGAATGATCTTCACGGTCTCAGGATAAACAAAAGTAACAAATCCAAACATTCTCTTCTGCTGATATGGTATCCTCACATCTTGAACGGGTCCATAAATACTTCAAGGAGAAGAACAATAAGTTTAGCAACAAAGTGAATTTCACCTAACTGCATAGACAGATGTGATAGAACCTTATAGAGTACATCATTCAACAAAAACCTGAAATAATTTGACACGTCCTCCTCTCTGAAAGTGCTATCAGCTGGGAAAGTCAAGTAGATCTGTCTTGATGCCGGGTTAACCATTCCTGCTTCACCGTTTATTGAAAAACCGTTCCTTTCAAGCTTGGAACGGTTAAACTTGTTCATATCATCACCCATCATCAAAGTAGCAGCAGCTGCAGCCCTATAGTTTTAACCAAAATGAAATCTTTTAACATTACCACACACCAAAGAATTAAATCAAAGCTCAATCTTCAACTACATACCAGATAGCACAAGAAGGAATTAATCACTAAGTACCTCTGAGTATCATTTTGTTGCTGTTGAAGAAAGAAATTCATGCACTTTGGGGAGTAAGGAAAAGAAGCAGAACCCAGGAACTGAGAAGCAGCAGCCAACCTTTGTTGTTGAGCGGATTTAGATCTAAGTAACTCATGGCACTGGTCCATCATCTCAATCTTGTTAGGGGACCCAACCATGGTGGCACCTTCTGCACCGACAACCATTGAACCAGACTCCCCAAGCGCTCCATGAATAAATCTGCAATTATTCCCATTTTTACAGTACCCTCTAGCAAAATACAAGCAGGGTCTCCACCCAAACCCTGAAACCGGGTCATCAGCTCCTAAAATATCGCTCGCAGAGCTACTCCTGTGAAAGGAACTTCCCCAATATGAGGGGAAACCCATGGCGTCAGTGCTACCGCAAGCAGCTGCAACTGAACTCGAGGACATGTCAGCTGCTTGCGGGTAGAACAAATCATTGTTTTTGGGGTTAAGCTGCGGTGAGCTTTCATTGAGGAAAGATAGCTGGTCTTGAAGTTGAAACTCATCAATCATATCAATACCTTCTCCATTTCCATAGAAAGGTAAAGAAGAAGGATTTATAGACCCACTGCATGGACTGATCAACTCATCCGGGTTTGGAAGCTCAGATAAAGCACTCCAAGAAGAACTACCAGAAGAAATGGAAGGTTTTGTAGGGATCGAGAGAGAAGATGGAAGATTGACTCCAGCGTTCCCTAGAAGCCTGGAAGCATATGAGCTTTGTCTTGAAATAGTAACAGTATTTGGGTTGTCTGCAAGAAAAGGAGAAGGAGATGATGTTGTTGAAGGTGTAGAAGGAGAGTTAGTGGGAACGCGGAGCTCCTTTTTTGCCTTGAGAATCACTGAGTGAAGTAAAGCTTTGGGACCAAAGGCTAAACGAATCATCTCCTTCTCGCCATGATCTTGAATGAGCAGTAGACCCATGATTCTGGAAGCATTTTCTGGCTCTGACTCTTGGATTCTTGAGAACACAATTCTTGTTGCTTCATAGCCATCCATAATTGAAAGCACACCAACCCCGAACGCTCTCCAAATATTGTTTAGTTGCTGTATACTTCACTTTTCTTGTTTAATTTTGAGAGAGTGAGTAATGGAATGTTTTGAGTAAGGTATGTGTAAGTAAAGCTTCTTTCTCAACCACAAGCTCTACCTACCAACTTGGGACCAGTTAGCAGCAGTCAGTGTCTCTATCCTTCCCTCTTTCTCTGATTCCTGCAAAAGAATAGAAGCCCCATAGTGCGGAAATGTAAAGAAAATTAATTTATAGAACAGAAAGGAAAAAAGAGAATCAAAAAGAGTATTCCCGTGTGGAGATTTAAAAGGAAGAAAAAGAAGAAAATATGGTGGTTGAATTTCTTTATAAAGCAAACATCAGCAAAAGTTGCAGACGCCAAAGGAGAAAGAGCAACAACCCTTTTTCTTTTTTTTTTCTTTTTCCTTTTCCTTTATAGATAGAGAGAGCTTCCTTCCTAGTTTTTACTAGTTACTTCCCTTTGAACGTTTTTAGTAACTAAATTTGAGAAAACAGTTTTTGGGTAGGAGAGTACGGGCTTTACCCATTAAAGAGAGAAAGACTGGGATTTTAAGGTCGTTGTCTCGTTGATCTTTCTCTTTTTTTTTAAGACAAAGATTTGCGAAAGAAGAAGAGAAAGGGATCAAAGTGAAGTCTATTGTTGGTGTTTTTTGTGTCTCTGAATTAGCGCCTTAAGCCAAACCACCGCCTTCTTTCATTCAAGCCAGTGAGCAGAGCACAGGGAGGAGCAGCAGCAGTAGCAGTAGCAGTAGCTGAGGCACTAACAATTGCTTCTCTGTTGCTGCTTTGTTTTTTGGGTTCTAGAGCTATTTTGGGCAGACAAAGCTTAGGGCTTTGGAGCTATCAATTTCAGCTCTCTCTGTCTCTCTCGCTATCAAGTCTCAGCAAGTGGAGATTGCTTTCTCTCTCATTTGAAGCTAATACAAACAAAACAAAAAGAATGGTAAGCGGCAGGAAGAGAAAGAAAGAGAGAGAGAGAGAGAGAGTGGGGAGTTGGGGTGATATGAGTGGGATCCAGATGCGTTCTTCAAGTACTGTATGTTCTCTTGCCTCAATGCTCCTCACCCGGGTCCTGACTCACTCACGCTCTCTGTTAGACTGGCATTTTGACTGTTAAGCATTAACTTACTCAAATCAAACAAAAAAAGAAACTCCCACAATTTCTCTCTGTCATACTCACCCTTCTTTCTTAATCTCGTTTAGGGCTGAGCAAACGGAAATTTTGATTAATTCGATCGTAAAATTTAAATAATTAATTTAATTTACAATAAAAATTAAATCAATTGATATATATAAAAAAATTAAAAAATTTAAATCGAATTAAGATCATCAATTTCGATTTTTTTTAAATTAATCGATTTTAATTTTAATTTTTTACATTAAATGTATTTACCTCATATAATTGAATATACTTATATTATATTTTTTAATTATTTATTTTATATTAAATTAGATATTTTAATTTATTTGATTTAGATATTTTAAAATAAAAATTGATCATTTTAATTATTTAAATTAAAATAATAACTAAAATATTGATATAACTTGAATTATTCGATCATTTTTTTATTTTTAATTTTAATTTAATCAAATTTTGTTCAATCCTAATCTTATTTTGATACATGTTACTATAATAATACAAATCATTAATCAAATTAAATAACAATGAACGCAAATTAAAACAACATGAAGAAGTGAAGATAGTGATATAATCCACTCCGTTACTGTTGCGAGTATTTAATACGCGCCAATGGGAAAGATGTTGCAGATTGAGGTACCCATTATGGATGATGATTGGAGAGTGAGTTGCAGGCGCTGCTGGCCCTTTGCCCAAGCATCGTGTTCATTGTTCAATTTTTCATCTGGGTGGGGCGTCAATGTCCCTCCAATCAATTGCTCTCTCTCTATACAACAGGAGATCTCCCACCCCCCTCGACATCTTTTCCAACAATTCCTTTTGATTTTTATATAAATTTAATTTCTATAAAAACATTCATTAGCAAAATTTTATTACAAAATAAAATTTTAAAAATAATTGGGATTAAATTATTGAATTTTAATTAGATCTAAAATTTAAAACATAATATAATGATATAATATAAAAATAATATTATTTAAAATTTTATAAAATTATAAATATATTTAATAAAATTAAAAAATTATATTTTATATTTTTATATAATATAAATTATAATACGTAATTTTTATATAAAATATAATATAAATATAATATTTTATACAATTCAATAATACGAATTATCACATTTAATTTTAATTAAATATTGACTTGAGGATTTTCTTAGATATGTACGGGGATTTGTGATTTGCGGATCGGATTTAATGATGAGTTTGTGGTTTGGGAAATAGTGAGTAATGTTCCAAACATATGCACCCTATTTTTCCCTTGGAAGGGTTTGCAATTTATATTTCTTGCTGGCTCTCCTACAAATAAAATAAATGTTGTTATTATTAGGTGATGGTTATGTTAGCATATGATAATGTCCAAATATGCATGTAATAGTAAGAGAGAGAGGTAGGGCAGAAGAAGTTTTTGTTGTTTTGACGGTATAACTAACGATGGGGAACGTAATTAAGTTCCCTTGTAGGATTTGAATGTGGATTATGAATTGAGATGAGATGCCCCACAGGCCAGGCCACAACCCACAACAAAGAAATGATGAGTGAATCTCTTGAGAGACCCCCAAACCCACCTCACCAAGAGCAGACTAAAGTCATTCACTCACTCATTGTAAGTCACAGCGCATATGATCTCAATTATACACACACCCCTTTTATCTATGTTTATTACTGTATGATCGATGTGTAAAATAGATAAGAGAGAGAGAGAGAGAGAGAAGGAGAGAGATTGTTGCTTAGTTGGTTTGCTTCTTCCTTCCGAGCTCCCTCCCCAGTCCCCCTCCGCGTAGATGCAATGAGCAACAAAAGAAAATTTCAAAATTGAAACTTGAAAACGCAATGCGTTTGTCTTCTCCGCATTCATCGTTCACATAAGGCAGAGGGAAACTACCAATTACGTGTTCATTCATGTCACCCAATCTCTCTTAATTTTAGTTTGTTTGAAGCTTGAAATTCACCTTGTCAATTACAATCTCATTTATTTCAAAAAAAAAAAAAAAGAAAGAAAATCAAGTAATTTTTTTTCATATGTATCAAATATAATTTTTTTTATTAACATTAATATATGTATCAAGTATAAATTTTTTTTATTAACATTAGTACTTAGTATGTAAAAAGAAGTCCAAAAGCAACCACCAATTTTTCTCCTTTACCTGCATGACATCATTCATTCAAAGACCATATTCCATGGATAAATATACGGAGAGAGGTAGGATCTCCTTGATGATTATTGATGATTATCCTTTCCTTTCCTTTCCTTTCCTCTTACACCGAGGCAAGCGGGCGCAACTGTTAGTGAAAATGAAAATCATTTGCGACTTACATATATCTATAGATGCTTTTCCTTTCCCAACCTGGGTCCAAAATCATGATGATTCTGACGCAGATTTAATCAGGTGGAAATCAGCATAAATAAATATATATATATATATATATATATATATACGTAGTGGGTATCATTATCATCAATTATTATATAATGACAAAATCATATTGAGCCATGAAATTCATTTCCAGTCTTCCCTACTCAAAATTCAACTCAACTCATTATCCAATTAGCTTCAAGATTTGTATCACTAATAAAACAGAGCAGCACCAAACTGCTCCTAGCGAATACAAATTTATAAATGGATGGTTCACGTTAATGAAACAAAACAAAATTATACGACTTTTGACAGAGTATTTGGTACGCAAGAATTTTGAGATTTATTTTTGAAATCTTATTTATTGGTATGTGATTTTTATATTTAGTTTATTATATCTTATTTTTTGGAGTAATCTTAAATTCTTAATAGTATTAAAAAATTTCAGAATAAAGATTTCATCTTTTCATAGGTTTTTTAATATTTTGGGAGAAAAATTACTTTTATCTCATACTCAACTTCAATAATATATTTTTTTCTTTTTATTTTATAATTTTAAAAATCAACATAAAATAAGTTTTTTTTTACAAATGTCAACTATTACGATTTGTTGAAAACAAATACAATAATTGTGATTATTTTTAGCTAAAACTTTTTTAATTAAGTAGTTTTTTTTTTTTTTGTAATTGAGTAATATTAATTATTATATTTATTTTAATATAAACTCAGTATTTGACTTATACTTTTTTTTCACATTGGAATATTGCGTATGTGTGCTTTATAATACAATAATTGTTATTATTTATTGCATTTATTTGAAAAAAAATGCAGTATTTGATAACTTTTAAATTTTGTCATTTTTGCCACTTGGATATTGCGTTTGGTCGATTTGAAACACAATAGTATTTGACAATTAGTATGATTTTCATTTTTCACTAAAATGCTGCAATATGAGGCTTAAACACAGTATCAGTGATTATTTATTGTGTTTCTTTCAATAGAACATAGTATTTGAGAACTTATAATAAATTTAAATTTTTTCTCTCGAAAACTGAGTTTCTGATATTACAAACATTCTTATGTCTTATCAAATAAAGCCCAATTGTTAATAACAATCACGACGTTTATAAGAAATACCATATTTGGAGTCTTTAACTTTGTTGAATAACAAATAGCACTTTTTTTTTAAAAGACAACATTGTAGATCTCTAACCAAAGACTTTTCTATTTTAACCAACATTAGCTACAATATTCATGATTTTATCTTCATCCTATTAAGTTTATCTTTTATTTTTTAATAAACAGTGTGTCTACTATCTGTTACATCATTATCTGTTCTTAATAATATGTTTTATTCAAATGTATTCTTGTTTTATTTTATTTAGATCTCATTTAGATCTTAATTAAAAAAATGTAGACCTATTATATGTATTCTTCATTTTCGTTTTAGTCATTGATCCACAGATGTTTTGTTCTTGGTTTTTTTTTTTAAATTTTTTCATTGAATATGTCTTATATTCCTTCTACAAAGTGCACATATTTGCTTTCCATGTTTTCAACATGAACCAAAATGTTTCTTCTAAATAGTTATGACTTGTTTATCATTAAGAAAGAAGATGTAATTGATAACAGTACTTATTTTGCACTTGAACTAGATGGAGACTATGTTACACCTATTACTTATTATTATTGTGACATTACTTGTAATGAAACTTAAAAAAAGACGTAGACTATCTTATACTGATAGCACATATGTTAGGCTACAAATTAGAAAGTTAAACTTAATTGCAATATTTTTTGAAAACGATAGATAGTGTGTAGATAATTATAGAATAGATATGAGAGTTTTTACAAAATTATGTCATTTGCTTCAAACACAATGGAGATTACAAGTATCTAGACAAATGTCAATAGAAGAACTAGTTATTAGCTTCTTCCACATCATTACCCATCATATAAAAAATAAAATTATGAAGTATCAAGTAGTCAGATTTAGAGAGACAATTAGTGGATAATTTCATATTGTGTTGAATTCTATTTTGATACTCCATCCCTTATTGTTTAAAAAACTCGAATTGATATCGAAGAATTCAACAAATAATAGATAGAAATAGTTCAAGGGTTATTTGATTACCTTAGATGGAATATATATATATATATAAAGATAAATGTAAACTTAGTTGACAGGCCTAGATACAGGACAAGAAAAAATAAAATTGCTACCAATATTCTTGGTGTTTGCACACAAGAAATGTAATTCATATATATTATACCTGGTTGAAAAGGTTCTGTAATAGATGACAGAGTGTTAATGGATGTTATTATATGGAGAAATGGGTTAAAGACCCCATAAGGTATTAGCTTGAATATTTTGATTTTAGTTTTGCGTCAAACACATGTTTGTTTTTGGCCACCTTATAAAGGTCAAAGATATCATTTGAATAATTAGAGGTTAGGACAATAACCGACGATACCCCAGAAATACTTTAATATGAAACACTCTCACGTAAGAAATTGTATTAAGAGATGTCAAATGATAGGCAATTTTAAAAAGAAAGTCATTTTATCCAATAAAAATACTGTGTAAAATCATTTTTGCTTGTTGTCTTTTCTATAATTTTATT